ACTGAGTCATGGAGTGATGAAGTAATGAGGCCTAAAGAAGGCTGGATGGGGCCTATAGTCAAGATCTTACCCACTGCAATCAGCATCTTTTCAGCCACGGGTGGCTTTTCAAACCCTTGATAGATCTTGAGCAGGTCCAGTGGGACTTCACAGGTGTAATATGCTGACTTTTCTGCCCCTGCAGCCTCTTGCAGCTTTGGGAGTTGGGTGAAAGATCATGTGTGGTAATCAAATCCTGATATCCGGAGTGGCAAACAATAGCACGGGGTCATCATCACTACAGATTTTTAAATAGCACTGTAATTACAGTGGTGGTTTGGGTCTAGGGCTAATTTTAAATTCTGATTAGAAATACAGATAAGTAAAAGTCTTAGGAGGCTTAGCTGCTCTTCCATTGTCTGATCCTAGGGGCTGGGGGAGGGGGCGGAGGTTAATTGTTGGTTTTATATTTAGACTGGATGAGTCCCACTCTTGTTCCTCTCACTTTCCCAAGCATGTTGCAAGGCAATTAAAGTTGGATGAGATTGGTGCCTTACTCCCTTCGGAACAGGACCTGCCATTGGAGCTGGAGTAGTGCTGAGAGTTCTGCAGATAGTGGCACACAGCATGCACACTGTTCCTTCTTAGCAAGAGATGCTGTCGTGTAACGTATGTCCCAGATGTGAGTGACTGTGAATGTTATCCAGGGTCTAAATATCTTGTGGAATTGCTTAAACAAGAATATTCTGCCACTCAGGCCTGGTCTATACCTAAAATTTAGATTGACCTAGCTTTGTCACTCTGGGATGTGAAAAATTCACATCACTGTGAAATGTTGTTAAATTGACCTAAGCCCTGGTAAAGACACAGCTAGGTTGATGGATGAATCCTTCTATCAACCTAGCTACTGCCTCTCAAGGGAGGTGGATTAACTAGAGTGATTGTGGACCTCCTTCCGTCCCTGTAGCAAGGATCTATGCTGCAGCTGTGCCGTTCAGTATCTGTATCTAGACAAGCCCTCAGCTGATAAGACAGTTTCAGGATTCCCTGGGGTTGCGTTTTATGTAGGACCTACGCTGTTGTGCTTTGCTGTTGCACTGCCAAAAGGAGCACAGAGTAACTGACGGACTATGTGGATAATGGTAGGGCCTGATCCAACTCCCTTAGAAGTCAATGGTCAAACTCCCAGTTGCTTCAGTGGTATAGAGCCCAGTCCCTGGTGCACAAGTATGGATGTGAAAATGAGCCAATATAGGGGCAAATCCTTTGATGTAGAGGAAAGGACCAAACAAGGCAAAGACCCTTTACTTCCTAGAAAAAACGACGAGGAATCCTTGTGGCACCTTAGAGATTAACAGATTTATTTGGGCATAAGCTTTCTTGGGCTATAACCCACCATGCATTTGATGAAGTGGGTTATAGCCCACAAAAGTGTATGTCCAAATACATTTGTTTGTCTCTATGGTGCCACAAGGACTCCTCATTGTTTTTGCTGATGCAGACTAACACGGCTACCCCTCTGAAACCTTTACTTCCTAGGTCCTCCTGCCAGCATGCAGAGTTAAAAAACACACTTTATAAAGTATTTGACTGTGTCCCTTTAACTGGTGGAAAAATACTTAACCAGTGGGAGATGCTTTACACTGATGAGCTGGGTAGCTGGAAGTTACAGAAGATTACGGACTAAACTAGCAGCGCCTGGGCTTTTTCCATTCCAACTCCCCAGAAATTGTTGTTTTTATCTCATTTCACATCAGTGTTTCAGTTTAAACTGGATATGCATCCTTCATGTTACCGAAAGGGCTACTCCAGTTTCTTTTACCTAATCATGGGTGTCTCTACTAGCAAGCATACTCATTAAGAGTGTTTCATCACCAAATCTTTGTATGCTAAGCAATTGCAAAAACAGCATAAGCACCAGTAATTGCCAAAGAAAGTGAAAACACTGTATGAAGGATGGTGATTGAATGATTAAATGTATAGAGGTTTTTATTAGCGTACACCATAGTATAATAGACTTTGTAATAAACTTAAACTTTACTGAGAGCCCAAATGTGCAAATTTATATTTCTTATTGCTCATAGTTCTTTGCATGATAATTTGCATAGACCCCTGTTTGGAATAAAATTAGAAACAGAGTGAAAAACACAGGGCGGAGACATGGAGTCTGGGCAGTTTTTCTGCACAGAAATTTGCAAAACACTGGACTGGGTAGTGTATTTAAAAAACAAGCACCCCACCCGCCTCACCTTGCTCTTTCATTCCCAAGTGGGTAGTAACACATGCTGATGTAATGATGACATGACTTCATTATCATAGCACAGCCCTCTCTTCTCTTTGATCATCCTTGTTGTGTCTAGAAAAGGAGTACTTGTGGCACCTTAGAGACTAACCAATTTATTTGAGCATGAGCTTTCGTGAGCTACAGCTCACTTCATGAAGTGAGCTGTAGCTCACGAAAGCTCATGCTCAAATAAATTGGTTAGTCTCTAAGGTGCCACAAGTACTCCTTTTCTTTTTGCGAATACAGACTAACACGGCTGTTCCTCTGAAACTTGTTGTGTCTGTATGTTATGGGAACCTTTTTGCCCTCTAGGCTGAGGAAGAGTTTTTATATTAAATTGGAATACTTTTCAGATTTATTCTGTAAACTCTGTCACATTTTATAAGCAAATGTATCTGGGCTTTATAAATCACAACATGCTTAGGCTGCATAGTATTGAGGGTAATTTAAGGTATTGCCCTGGAATAGGAAATCTGCAGGGAGAGACTTGCAAAGAGAAATTTTAAGGAAGCTTTATAACAAACGTAAGTTTAATTAAACATTCCTAACAATCATAACTCAACCTTGCAGAACTGTTCTTGTTTTTGCAACACTGAATAGGTAAACTGAGCTGTCTGTTTGGGGGAATAGACAGTGTGTATGTTGCTTACAAAGAGGGGAGCAATTATTGCTGATTCCTGTTTTGATGATTTGCTAAAGGCATCTTTTCAAGGCTTGGTTAAAGGGAATAAGTGAAGTAGATACACTTCGGTCTTGAGTTTAAAATGGTGAGTTTAGCAAAGATCCTTGCGCCATCTAGTGGTTATTCTTCTAATTACTTGTTCTGTATAGAGAGAAACGGGAAGGTGCTTTCCCGATGCACGTTTGCCCCCTCCCTCTCCGTTTTATTCTTGCAAAGATTATAAAACGGAGGGTGGGGAAAAATAATCCTTAATCCACAGAGTCTCATCGATACCGGCGAAGGGTGGTGAAAGGAAAACAAAAAGCGAAACACAAAGGATTTACATTAAGCAGACCCAATTAATATTAATCTGTTTTTACAACGAATTAGAAGGTTGCGTCAATGAGCAGGTTCCAAAAATTGCACCACATTAAAGCAAAAGCCTCAGCGGGCGCTCATGTGTTGTGTTGGCGTTAGCAGTACTGTTCTCACTATACGTTCATTGAACAGTAACGCAACCCCAAGATAAGGACGGTTAGCAAAAGCACCTAATGGGAATGCGGGGAGGGACTCTGCATGGCTAGTTCGCTTGTGGCGACGGCGTGTTTTGAGCATGCCTTTTTCATTCGTGGCTTCTCTTAGGGACGGAGTCCATCACGGTACAGTGTCTAGGTCTGTCATTTTTATGTCGGTTAATGCCGTTTTAATACTTTTTCGGCCGACAGTCACGACTGTACCCATAATGCACTGCGCCACCTAGCGTGCTTATTTGCATATGCCGCTGGCGAACCTTCCTTCGGAGTTTCAGAGTAGAGTGAATGAACAGTCTCACAGCAAAGTTTGTGGCATTAAATGGGAATGAAGAAGTGGTTAAATGCATCCTTTTTTGCATTTTTCTTTGGGCTGATTGATATTTATGCACGCATTGATGGAACTGAGGATAGTAATAATAAATAATGATCTAAAATTTGGACAGCTTTACTAAATTTTTATGAAAGATCACCCGCCCTTTACCACAATGATGTTAATATGATGTTAATAAAAACAGATACGTACTTAAAATCAAACCAAACCACCAATCGACTGATATTTTACTTGCCCTAAGAGAGTGGGGTGGGTAGAATTTTGCCAGGCTAACTTAATATGCATAAAGCAGTTTACCACTATTAAAATTGTAATAGTAATAAATGGTAGTTTATTACTTACCACTTATTTATTATGCTTAACAAAGAATACATAGCACTTTATTAATTATAATTATAATATTATTAATTTTAATTATAATTAGCATGTCTAACTTTTTATTAATTAACAAGGTATCATTAGGTGGATATTCTTCATTAGCATTTATTTAGCACTTTGCAAAATATGCAGTGCTTTCAAATAATACTACCATCCAGTTCTTATATAGGGCTTTTTCATCAGCAGATCTCAAAGCCCTTTACAATCTCTGAATGTTTTTTAAATTGTTATCATTATTTATTAAAGGGATACTATAAACTTTAAAGAAAAAATCATGATTGTATTCCAAGTAACACTGTTGACAAACACTTTCACTTTCAATAAAAAAAATCTATTTACTCGTCCCTATTTATTGCTGTTAGTTTAATTTTTTTCTAAACTTGGATAATAAATACAATTAACGCAGTTGCATTATACATTATTTAGTAATACATTATAATTAATATCAATAAATTATCAATCAATAAAAAATAGAAATAATAAATTGCAAATATATATAATAAATAATTTAAGAACATGTCCGTGAAAGTGATTATAATGATTGATTGTATGGACTGCAATTTGTTTAAAAATCGGTAATCCTTTCCTTGCTCCTCTAAAGTAGGTAAGTAATCTTCTTTACGGTCATATTCTATGCTGGGCAGTGGGCAGATCTAAATGGCATACATTGCAGTGGAACTCCTTATATGATGCATGAAAGGTTTGTTTTTCTTTTATGAGCACATTTATTCCAGCATTGCTGCTGCAGTGGGAAACCCCTTCAATCTTGCCTATCCTGGTGTCTTGTGCCTGACTGCACGCTAACATGCTGTCTTTGTTGTTGTGTGTTTGCAGGTGGTTCTGCTGGGGATGGACATCCTGTCTGCACTAGTGTCACGGTTACAAGATCGCTTTAAAGCTCAGATAGGCACAGGTAAAGTATAAGGGATCGTTAGCCCATCTGAAATATATTTGGCCAAATTCTGCCCTCACTCACACCCGGGCAGCCTGTCATTTAAAGAAGGTTACTTGGCTGTAATAGAGAAGCAGAAATATGGTCCACTGTCACTAATCTGAATGATTTTGTTAACCTTCCATATACCATAGAGGCTGCATCATCAGGACTGGTACTTCACAGCTTCTGCCACTAAAATAGCATGAGTAAAGTGTCAGACTCTGGCCCTAAATGATTAGCCTCTATGCTGAGTCCCCTTGTTGCTGTGTATGCTCTCATCCGCTACGGAGCCAGCAGAGCCCCCAACCAAAACCTAGTCACAGGAGCACGGCTTAAATTCCGTGGAGGATTTGACTTTAACCAGCTGAGAGGGAGAGAGCACTGTCTGGTTCAGCACAGATTTGGGTCTGGAGAATTTGCGCCGTCGTCTGTAAAACAGGGAGCCAGTAGTGCATTCTCAGTGTCCTAGGGTTTTTGTTAAGATTTTGTTCGTGTTTTATTTGGGAGAAATCTCTGGGTTCTCCCCTGAATAGCCTTGTGTTCTCCAGTCTCATTCTGGAGACCACTCTGCCTCTGCAGTACTTCCTGTCTTAGTTGCCGGCCTCTGCAACAAGGACGGTACATTGCTGCTTCCTTCTTCCTTAGCGGTCACAGAGTACCACTGTGATAATGATTACATCTTAATTAATGCAAAACTGTCAAGATCTCAGTCCTGAGAGGTACTGAGTGCTGTCCATTCTATGGGTGCTCAGCACCTTTCAGGGTCAAATCACAGACAAGTGAGTGGGGACAAACTTTACATTGTGCGTTAGTGAGGTCCCAGAATTCTCTCTGCTTTGCTGAAGTGTGTGTATGTGATTTTAACTACGATACTCTTTGGCTTTTTTTCTGATAGACTTTGGTGTTTTGTTTTTTCCAGTGTTGCCCAGTTTACTTGACAGGCTGGGAGATGCTAAAGACTCAGTGCGGGAGCAGGATCAGGCTCTGCTACTAAAAATTATGGAACAAGCTACTAATCCTCAGGTATAGTAATGACTCATTTGGAATACACTGCACGTATTCACAAAGAACCTATGTCAGAATCTGTATTTATGACCTGCCATAAAGTCACCTTCCCCAATGGGTGCATGCTAACTGGCCCGTTGTCTCCATGTCCACAGGATAATCTCCCAAGAATGGAGAATGGATCATGTTTACACCAGCTGCAGTTAGATCTGGGAGGGATGGTTTATTAATGTTCTAAACCTTAGGTTCCAATCCCAGCAGAGTGAAATTGACTTATTCCTCTTCTGAGTTAGGTCCACTGAGAGCTACACAGTTTACTGGGCTTGGATCTTTCAGATGACTACTATATAACCCAGGACCTTTCTGTTCTCATGGATGTTAATGATCCTCTGATACTTTCTGTAAAATGAGGGCTTTGTCCCTGGCCAATATTTCTCTCTTCTCTCACAGTTGTTACTGAAACTCTACCTACCGCATTTCAATGGTGATGCACATGTATCGTTTGGAAAGATTCTTTGGGATCTTGGGAAATGAAAGGTGCTATGTAAACATGCTCTCTGGCTCTACCTGCTTGTCCAGGAGTGCACCAGTTTCTGAGCGTTGCCCCCCTGTCTCTCCTAATTTCTGATTTGTCCCAAGATTTTAGGGAAGAAAGAAAGGTAGGGATGGACACAGCATCCTGCACTGTTTAAATGCTCACTAGCTGATGCTTGTGCTTCCCTACCCCACAGCCCAGAGCTCTCTGGTGCACAGGAACTGGGGCACAGCTGGGAGATGGGTGTGTTTGAGCATTAGCCAGGGCTCCACTAGAGGAGGGGCAGTCGCAGGTGTCACAGGTGCTGTGCCTTGGGGGTTGGCAGGTCTGTGCTGGTAAACTGGTGTTATGTTAGCTAGCAGTGAGTTACTGAAAGGCGCAACAAAGAACAAAAGATTAGTCACTTTTGAGATTAATACCGTCGTCCTGAAGCTTCCACCCAGAAATCCTCCTAGTCTTTTGTGTGTGGGCACAGAGTTTATATTTAAATCCAAGGGATGATAAATTGTGCCAGAGCTGGAAAAGAAAACCCCACCCACTCTATTTTTCCTCTTCTCTTTCCACCCTCTTTTCTGTCTTCTGCAGTATGTGTGGGACAGACTGTTGGGAGGATTCAAACACAAGAATTTCCGGACGAGAGAAGGGATTTGCCTCTGCCTTATTGCAACCCTCAACGTGTAAGTCAGGACCTGTCATAGACCTGGGTTACTAGGTTCCGAGTGTTATACATTTAAAAAAACAAACCAAAAATTCATACTCATGCACTTTCTTTTCTCCTAGATCCGGAGCTCAGAGTTTAACACTGAGTAAGATTGTGCCACATATATGTAACTTACTTGGAGATCCAAACAGCCAGGTAAGTCTTTGGTGAAAGTCCATGTTAAATTCCATATTTACTGGAAGGGAGAGGGGTCTGACTGTCACTCACAATAAGCAGAACTCTAAATTTTGAGTGGTACATTGACTGTGTGTGCTTAGTACCAGCCGTTGGTGAAGTTTGCAACTTCACCATTTATGAAAAGCCCTGGTTTCGTTTTGCATAATATGATTTTAAGGGATGCCTTGTTCTGTTCTCAGTGACTCTATGGTAAATATGAAGTGATTTCACTGGAGTTGCTCTGGGTTTATATTGGTGTCACCAAAATAATAAGAGAGTCAAATCTGAAAAGACTGAAATCATGACAATAGTTAACGCCATGTGCAGCAGTGTGAGTTGCATGGGATATTGGGGCTGTGGCCATCTGAGTAAATTCAAGAGAAGATATGAAAGAGATGCATGAATCCAGTCTGTCTTTGTTTAGTGCCATGTGTCCTAATCAGGGAAATGGCAGTGATGTGCTGCTAGACTAGAGTTTTTATAAGGACGTTCCTCAAAAATATCCTATCAAAATCCGTGATACGTTTCCAACCCCCTGTGTAAAAATGGTGCTGTTCCCCCAACATTCCAGTTCTCCTTTCCTTCTCCCCCAGAGAATCCAACAAGTCCATACATGTATCCTCTCCCAACTCCATTAGAGTGATTTCTACTGCTGTAGGGCCTCTCACCCTGAAAAGGGTGGGGGCCCAATTTCTCTAAGTGCTCCGCTAAGGCCAGGAAGAGGCAAAGCCTGCCCTGAAGAGCTTACAATCCACTTGGAAACAAGATACAAGAAGTGAAAGTAGGAAACAGGAAGGGAGAAGGTGGGGAAGGGAAGACAAAGGAAAGGGCAATGAGATAGTGTTGTCATATAGGGCAACTTCCTGGTTCCCAGTCATTGGAAATTACCCTGTCTTGCTCCCATCACACCGTGAGTCTCACTCCCCCTTGCATCATGGATGCTCCTCTAGGTGTTCCCCTACCTGGCAGCTGTCTCTGGCTGTTGGTTGGGTGGGATGTAGTGTTGGGCTGGGTGGTTGGTTGGAGAATAGGTGCCCCATGATTCTTGATTTGGGCAGGTCTCTCTTCTCTCCACTCCCCCAGACTACTGGGGGTCTCCCCTAGCTGCTGTGAGGAGTTGGGTGAGGGAGAGTGTTCCCCTGGCTGGTGTAATGGGCTAAGAAGAAGAACTGGTTACCCCTGAGAGTTGGTAAAGGGAGGGGGAATGGAGATCCAAACTCCCTTCCAGTACTGACTTTTCAAACCCTGGGCAGGGGACAGGCCGGCAGGCTCTCTGGCCGGGGAGAGAGATGGGCTCCAGAACTCTGGCTCAGTGCCCAGACGGTGATTGTTTGGACACATCTTCTCTCTCTCTCTTCTTTGTGTGCTGTTGAGCAGCCAGCAAGCGTGTGAGGGGAGCAGCCCTCCCGCCCTGCGCACTCCTCTTGGTGCCTAGTACATCTCACAGTCTCACATTTCCTCATTGTCCTCCAGAGCTCCCCCAAAGCAGTGCTTGTGGGGCAAAGAGGAGTAGCCTGGCCTGCCCAAACAACAACGAAACCACACAACAATCAGACACAAAGTACTGTGCCTGCGTACCTTTTTAAATCTTCACAATAGTGAAAAACACTAACCCATTTGGCTACGGTCAAGTGCACTGTCAGTTTAATAAATGATGCTTCCTCTGTTAGGGGCCAGTAGATCCTGCCCTTCCTGGGAGGGGAGGAGACCGGATGGTGTGGAAGGAGAGGGATGGACCTTGTGATCTGATAACACTTCTTTCTCTATCTCCGGCTGCCTATTTTCTTCCCTCTGAGAATTACTGTTGTAAAGCTGCATTAGCAGAACGTTGAGGAACACTGCCCTCTGTTGGCTGAATGAGATATAGCAGAAGCAAGGAAATGGTGTTTTGTTTTGCTTTGCTTCACTTTGCTACAGAGATGCGAGTTGTATTGTTGAGGGTTTTGTTTTTACCCAGCGGAGGAATTTTTTTTAAAACTAGCATTGTTTTTGAGTGATCATTTAGCAATTTTCCTTATCCCAATAAACTCTTGATATGGCTCTTTAGTTACATGCATTTAAACTATTCTGATTGAGGACAAGAGATCAAAGGATTTTAACATAAAGAACTTAAAAGCATTTTAAAAATTGTATTATTATAAATAAAGAAAAGCCACTATTGATACAGCCAAGTTTTATACCTGTGTTTGCCCCATGGTGACTCCATCTTTTATGGCATGAGTATTTATTTAGGCCACGATCCTACAAACATGTTCACGTCCAAGTAACTTTATACATGTCATCCCATTGAACTCAGTGGGACTACTCAGGCTCATAAAATAATTTATGTCCATGACTGGGGTTCCTAGGCACTATGTTAATACAAATAATAAATAATAATAAGTGTTTGCAGGGTTGCGGCCTTAGGCTGTAGGTTTTTTATAGTGACTTTTCCTTAGAAAGCACGAGTTTCTCATGGTGACTTTTTAGAGGAAGCATCAGTGTTCTTTTACCTACCCCTTCAGAGCCATGCTTTCACCTGTGCCAATTACAGTCTCCCATCACCTGCTCCCCTTTCCCAGCTGTGAAAGTGTTTGCCTCAGAGTCTTGCTCTGGAATCTTCATTCCCCGCATCACCTCAAGGGGAACAGGCAGCAGTGGTCAAATCTTCAGCTGAGGGTAGGAGATCTGCTCGTCCTTCCTTTGTTTGTAGCAAGACCAGTAGCCTCTCTTCAGCTCCATGCAACGGGAACCAGTGAGGCTTTGTTGTTTTAAGGGCTAGTGGGGTCTTAGCTCGCTCCTGCCACCTCTACAATGTCACAGGGCTCAAAGAAAGCCCCAGAATTCCTGGCATGTTCATGAACCCACTAACATCTTACCCCCACAGTAATGTGGTAGGATGCTGGGTAGTGTAATGTGGTTGCTTTCTGTGTGTTGGCTTAGGATGATCCTGCCGACTCACCTGTGGCTTTGATTTGTTTGGTAACTTGTGTCTTACTCAGGCTGATAGCATGTGATGCTGGACCTTGGTATTCTCTAGGTAGATAGTTTGGGTTCTGTCATATTTACCCTTTTAATCTTTGTTCTATAGGAGCCCCATGCTCTCCCTCGTTTTTAGTTCCTTGTTACATCACATGTAAAGATGGTGACCCATTAAAGAAGGTTTGTCCAAGAAAAAGAAAGAGGACTTTCACTTCTGATCTTGTTCTGAGATCTGTCCCACTCCTTGTGCACTGTCCTTCAGCAATCGCTGCAGCTCCTCAGTCTTTAATTGGGTCTAAAATAACCTCCTAAATTGGCCAGCAAGGGGTACATCCCCTGTACACCATACTGGGTGCATCCCTTTATGTAGGGGGTGGATAGATGGGTCTCTGCAACTAAACAAATGGTTTTGGGAGATTCCTCCTAACTTGATCTCCAACATCAGTGTCATCTTGTCATTGGGCTATCTCCTGTCCTTGTTCTTAGATGGCTGACAACCTGGTAGCAGAGCAGGGGTACTGAGTGTGAGGGTCTTTCCGAAGTCCTCTACTGGTTAGGGAACCGAATGTGACAGAATAAGAGTCTGCCCGTGACTGTGTCAAGTCCTCGAGAGTTCTTTCTACCAGTGCACCCTGCGGGGGAGAGCAGCGAAGGGTTGAAGATTAAAAGATCAAGGATTCTCAAGGAATGCCCTCTGTTTGGCCAAAAGCCAAACACGGGGTGGATGTCACCAGCTTCTGCTGACTTTGGCCAGTGACTTTGTTTGGCCTGGCCAGATTGTTTAGCATAAGTAGTTAATATTTCAAGGGACCATTAAAGGTGAAGGGGCTTGCTAACACCTTACCAGTCATCGGGAGGAAAGAAAGGGAAGGGGAGGCAGTTGGGGGAGGTTTGTTAGTGGGCTACTGGTTGTTGTAATAAGCCATAAATCCAGTGTCTCTGTGTCTGAGAGCAGAGTCCATTGCCCTGTGAATTTCCAGCCTGCCAGCCCTGTGCAGTTGCTCCCATCAGCCACTGGTCCGAGATGTAAAGGGAAGCTCTGGTGGAATGTTGAAGGCCAGTAGGAGCCTGAGTGTGGCCTTGGTTCCAGAACCTGGTGAGCGGGGCAGTTGCGCCCGGAGACACAGCGGCAGTTGACTGGGCAGACAAATGGCTGAGTAAGGAATTTGGGGGAGGGAGGGCAGGGAGATGACCCTCAGCTTGCACAGGGCTGCCATTCGTCCTCTCCACCTTCTGTGCTAGGGCTCAGGCTGCAGGGGCAGAGAAATCCTGTGATTGCTTCCTGCCCTGCCCTCCCCTCCCCTCCCTTCCCCATAGGTGGTGCTGCAGCTTCGTGCTTCACCTGCCGGTTGCCATGGGGATGGCGGGAAGAAGTGCTGTGGAGGGTCCGGCCTGGAGAGGAGAAGGGGAAGGGGGCACTGAACTGGCAGCATGTGGGGGAAAAGGGGATGCTGGGGCCTGAGAGGGGGAAATATGGGGATAGGTAGGAGGAGAGGGGAGAAGAGGAGGGGAAAGAGGTGAATGGCGGTATGGTGGGAGAGAGGAAAGGAAAGAAAACTTGACAAGGGCAGAGGAAAATGACTAAAAGCCCCTGGGGCAGGTGGGCCAGAACTCAGGGGCCTGGGAGAAAGCAGAGACCCTGCTAGGAGAAAGCTCTGCAGTGGGGGGGATGGAGCTAGACAAGTGTGAGCAGCAGCTGAGGTGCTGTGCCCCGTGCTGGCTGTTGTCTCCTTGGCAATCTTTCTTCTGCAGCCATATTGCCAGGGGTTCCCCCACCAGTTGCCGCCTCTGGACCTCCCCCTCCCTGGGTGGGGTGTATGTTTGACATTGTGGAGGGGAGTGTAGGTAAGTTAATGCTAGTGGTGGGCATTTCTTCCCCACATCTTTGCAGGGAGGGAGAGATTGCAGGCGTCTTCCAGAGTACACTCTCCCCACCTGCAGAGCCTGATTGAAGGCGGTGGCTTACCCTGTTCTGGGCTTAGGTCTTTTCTGCCCATGCAGGTGCTGGGGCGATATAGTTCAACTGGCTGCTGAGCACATCTCTTGCAAACCAGAAAACATCTTCTTTTTACATTCAAAGTCCTTACTTTATGTTCTGCCAAGAAGCCACGTCAGTCATTAACCCTAGCTGTGCCAAGATTAGACTATCCCCCTGGTGTTTGAGGCACCTATTGCCCTGGTATCAGTTGCCTTGCATTAACAATATCAGCCCAAAGCATGAAAAATCATGATTAGTTTGTTGGTATGGTTGATCTGCTGCTGTACTAAAGTTGTATTGAAATCTGTTCTGTACTAGAGATACTAGGGGTTTTGTTACTCCCTTACCGTTCTCTGTCTACATCTACGTCTGCGGCAATGTGACTCTTTCCTTGCTGGGTAACATAGTCTGGGTCTATATCAGGAGGGAGCCTGTAGCCAAGGCAATTTTGCAGTGGTAGTTTTGTGGCATTTTATTTTTCATTAGGAGATTGGTCTGTCTCTGCAGAATCTAAGGACCGAAAGTCAAGGACTTCAGTTACTGAGCACTCCTGATTTCCTGACATGGAAGGACTTTTTATGCAATTGATATCAAAATTACTTCTTTCCTCCACACTATTAGATCAACATAGACAAAATTATAATGCAAATAGCTGCCTCTCCTGATTTAGTGCTATTTTACAAGCTCATTGTGTTGATCTACTATCACAGAACTACAAAATCTGTTCATCCACTGTTACCATGATGGTCATAAAGAAGAAAAAAGGTTATATTTAGCCTTCAAAAAATGTACCCATCCTAGGTGAATGGGTGAGTGGAATTTTATAAGGCTGAACAGACTTACTGCATGCACAGAGGCTGGTGACTTGTGCTCAGTTCCCAGCTCTGCCACTGACTTGCCGTCTGTCCTTGGGCAAGTCACTTCAGCGCGCTGTGCCTCAGTTTCCTCATTAGTGAAATGAGCCTAATGATACTTATCGCCCTCTGAGATCTATGGATGAGAAACACTACATAAGTACTATTATTTATTATGCAAAAAATCACAGGCGCCATTGTGGCTGAGAAATGGATATATTGCTTTTTTGGCTTCTCTTAGGAAATAGTATTAAAAATTAAAAAGATGATTAATTTCTATTAAATCTCTTCTTTACTATTTAGGTTCGAGATGCAGCAATAAACAGCCTAGTGGAAATTTACAGACATGTAGGTGAACGTGTAAGGGCAGATCTCAGTAAAAAAGGATTACCACAGTCTCGGTGAGTGAAGAATATCCATTCTTTCTGCCTTTCTTGGTTTATTTTCATTATTGCTGCATTTAGGGACTACAAATGGAAGTCTTTTTTTGGGAGCCCTAAGGTGCCGATCCTGCAAACACTTTGCATGCACTTAACTGTACTCAACAGAGTAAAGTTGATAGGGACTGTTCATCTGCAAAAAGTTAAGCACATACCTAAGTGTTTGCAGGATTGGAGCCATAGCATCTGTGGAAAGTATTTAAAAAATATTACATAGGTCCTAGAAAATGTAACTCTCAAATGTATGCTGTGTCGGTCCCAGGACATTAGAGAGACAAGGTGGGTGAGGTAATTTCTTTTTTTTGGACTAGCTTGTGTTGATGAGGGAGGATATGTCTACACAGCAAGAAAAACACGCAGCTGGCCCGTGCCAGCCAACTCGGGCTTGTGGGGCTCAGGCTCTGGTACTATTTCACTGTTGTGTAGCCTTGTGGGCTCAGCCTGGAGCCTGAGCTTTGGGACCTTCCCACCTCGCAGGGTCCTAGAGCCTGGGCTCCAGCCCGATCCCAGATGTCTACACAGCAGTGAAACAGCCCTGCAGCTGGAGCCCTGCAAGCCCAAGTCAGCAGGCACGGGCTGGCTGCGGGTGTCTAGTTGCTATGTAGACATACCCAGAGACAATCTTTGGAGCTTGCACAGAGCTCTTATTCAGGCCTGGGAAACTAACTCAGTGTGTCACTGCTAAATACAAGGTGGAACAGATTGTTTAGCATAAGTAGTTAATATCTCAAGGGACCATTAAAGGTGAAGTGGCTCGCTAACACCTTTCCAGTCATCGGGAGGAAAGAAAGGGGAAGGGGAGGTAGCTGGGGGAGGTTTGTTAGTGGGCTACTGATTGTTGTAATAAGCCATAAATCCAGTGTCTCTATTCAGTTCATGACTTTAGTGTCTAGCAAAGTTATGAATTTAAGGTCCCAGGCTTGTCTTCTGAAAGTGTTGTGCAGGTTTCCTTTTGAGGATGAGATTAGATGTAGAGTGATCATTTAATGAAAATTGGAGACTAACCAATTTATTTGAGCGTAAGCTTTTGTGAGCTACAGCTCACTTCATTGGATGCATACTGTGGAAAGTGTAGAAGATCTTTTTATACACACAAAGCATGAAAAAATACCTCCCCCCACCCCACTCTCCTGCTGGTAATAGCTTATCTAAAGTGATCACTCTCCTTACAATGTGTATGATAATCAAGTTGGGCCATTTCCAGCACAAATCCAGGTTTTCTCTCCCCCCTTCTCCCCCCCCCACCCCCACAAACCCACTCTCCTGTTGGTAATAGCTTATCTAAAGATAAGAGTGGGTTTGTGTGTGCGTTGGGGGGGGTGGGGGGGGAAGAGAAAACCTGGATTTGTGCTGGAAATGGCCCAACTTGATTATCGTACACATTGTAAGGAGAGTGATCACTTTAGATAAGCTATTACCAGCAGGAGAGTGGGGTGGAGGGAGGTATTTTTTCATGCTTTGTGTGTATAAAAAGATCTTCTACACTTTCCACAGTATGCATCCGATGAAGTGAGCTGTAGCTCACGAAAGCTTATGCTCAAATAAATTGGTTAGTCTCTAAGGTGCCACAAGTACTCCTTTTTTTTTTGCGAATACAGACTAACACGGCTGTTACTCTGAAACCTGTCATTTAATGAAAATTGTTCACCCACAGGTGCTAGGGTGGTTTTGTTTGTCTTTTATCATTTTCCTCTGTGAGTTAATTTGAGAATGTAGTAGTGATTGTCTGGTTTCATCCATATAGTTGCTAGTGGGTCATTTAGTGCACTGGATGAGATACATCACATGTTGAGATAGGCATGTATAGGATCCATGGCTCTGGAAATGCGTGTTGTGGGGTAGTATTAACCTTTGAAGCAGTGGAGTTATGTCTGCAGGTTTTGCATCTGTTCTTCTGACAGGGTCTGGTGTCGCTTTGAGATGGTTTGTCCTGGTCTGTGGGAAGTTTTGCTTCTGATGATGTGCTTGGAAAGGCTGCGGGGGTTGCTTGAAGGCCAGAAGAGGGTGTTCAGGGAAGATTTCTCTCAGGATGTAGTTCTTTGATGATATCCTATATGGGTTCCAGAGTGAGGTGGTTGGTGACAACTAGGGGTGTCCGATGAAGTGAGCTGTAGCTCACGAAAGCTTATGCTCAAATAAATTTGTCAGTCTCTAAGGTGCCACAAGTACTCCTTTTCTTTTTGCGGATACAGACTAACACGGCTGCTACTCTGAAACTAGGGGTGTGTGGTCAGAGTGAGTTTTATTTCTGTATTGAGGTAGGTGGTCTTGGGGTATTTGGGTGGCCTGTTCCATGATGTGATCTACTTCTCTGGCGTTTTTGAGCGTGTTAAAGTGTGTATCCCAGACTTTCTCCCCGTATTCTGTGGAATCTGAATGCCTGGGTGTAGATAATGGATTTCATGGTGTGTTTGGGTTGTTACTGGATCTGTGAAGGAAGGTGTAGTGATCCGTGTGTTTCTTGTAACTCAAATGATAATGTGTTTATGTTGCAACATTCTGCTCGGTTACTTCCTCCTGGATTCCATAGGTCTTGTATGTATATTCAGTATATTAAGAACAAAAAGAAACCTGGTAATAGTATTGCTCCGTTGCTAGATGGAAATGATAGAATTATCAATAATAATGCAGAAAAGGCAGAAGTGTTCAATAAGATGTAAATTTTTAACAGTGAGAATAATTAACCATTGGAACAGTTTACCAAGCATCACAGTGGATTCTCCATTACTGACAATTTTTAAATCAAGAATGGATGTTTTTTCTAAAAGGGGATCTGCTCTAGGAATTATTTTGGGGAAGTTTTGTAGCCTGCGTTGTACTTCAGGTCAGACTAGATAATCATAATGGTCCCTTCTAGCCTTAGAATCTATGAATATGGAGCAGCCAGTTCAGACTGGTAAATGGACACACAGTTAAAAAGAGATTGGCAGGATAAAAATCATTATATTCAGCAATTGTGAGATCTTTAAAAAAAATTATACATGTTGGTCTCTTTATATTTACCTCCTGGTGTTTGAACCTTTAAGGTTCAGTTGGGCCATATTTTCAAGATTTTTCTCTACAACCATAAGGGCTAGAAACTTACTTCTTTTTTAAATGGAAGCTGAGATCATAGAATCATAGAATCATAGAATATCAGGGTTAGAAGGGACCTCAGGAGGTCATCTAGTCCAACATTCTGCTCAAAAGCAGGACCCATACCCAATTAAATCATCCCAGCCAGGGCTTTATCAAGCCTGACCTTAAAAACTTCTAAGGAAGGAGATTCCACCACCTCCCTAGGCAACGCATTCCAGTGTTTCACCACCCTCCTAGTGAAAAAGTTTTTCCTAATATCCAACCTAAACCTCCCCCACTGCAACTTGAGACCATTACTCCTTGTCCTGTCCTCTTCTACCACTGAGAATAGTCTAGAACCATCATCTCTGGAACCACCTCTCAGGTAGTTGAAAGCAGCTATCAAATCCCCCCTCATTCTTCTCTTCTGCAGACTAAACAATCCCAGTTCCCTCAGCCTCTCCTCATAAGTCATGTGTTCCAGACCCCTAATCATTTTTGTTGCCCTTCACTGGACTCTCTCCTATTCATCCACATCCTTCTTGTAGTGTGGGGCCCAAAACTGGACACAGTACTCCAGATGAGGCCTCACCAATGTCGAATAGAGGGGGACGATCACGTCCCTCGATCTGCTCTCTATGCCCCTACTTATACATCCCAAAATGCCATTGGCCTTCTTGGCAACAAGGGCACACTGCTGACTCATATCCAGCTTCTCATCCACTGTCACCCCTAGGTCCTTTTCCGCAGAACTGCTGCCTAGCCATTCGGTCCCTAGTCTATAACTGTGCATTGGGTTCTTCCGTCCTAAGTGCAGGACCCTGCATTTATCCTTATTGAACCTCATCAGATTTCTTTTGGCCCAATCCTCCAATTTGTCTAGGTCCCTCTGTATCCTATCCCTGCCCTCCAGCATATCTACCACTCCTCCCAGTTTAGTATCATCCGCAAATTTGCTGAGAGTGCAATCCACACCATCCTCCAGATCATTTATGAAGATATTGAACAAAACCGGCCCCAGGACCGACCCCTGGGGCACTCCACTTGACACCGGCTGCCAAATAGACATGGAGCCATTGATCACTACCCGTTGAGCCTGACAATCTAGCCAACTTTCTACCCACCTTATAGTGCATTCATCCAGCCCATACTTCTTTAACTTGCTGACAAGAATACTGTGGGAGACCGTGTCAAAAGCTTTGCTAAAGTCAAGAAACAATACATCCACTGCTTTCCCTTCATCCACAGAACCAGTAATCTCATCATAGAAGGCGATTAGATTAGTCAGGCATGACCTTCCCTTGGTGAATCCATGCTGACTGTTCCTGATCACTTTCCTCTCATGTAGGTGCTTCAGGATTGATTCTTTGAGGACCTGCTCCATGATTTTTCTGGGGACTGAGGTGAGGCTGACTGGCCTGTAGTTCCGAGGATCCTCCTTCTTCCCTTTTTTAAAGATTGGCACTACATTAGCCTTTTTCCAGTAATCCTCAAGTAATCACTTCTTCCAAGAGCTGGGGCTTTAAGAAAATCAGCAAATATTGGGAGATGCAATATAGTTGTGAGAACTTGCAACATTGTCTATTTAAACCAAACAGTTTTGCGTGTATGAGTCTTGTCTGCATAATGATACCGTAGATTATTTTGAAAACAGAAATAAAATTCCAGTTTAGAAAAACCACAAGTTATTGGGCTTGATATGGGAATCACTGTGTAAAAATTGAAGGCCTGTTGTATGCAGGAGGTCAGACTAAATTATCATAATTGTCCCTTCAGACTTTAACTCATGGAATGTATGAAGTCAGTGTATGCAGTTTGTTTACTTTTTGCTCCTCATTGAGTTTGAAAGGTGAAACTAGACTGGTCAGCTTCACTTTCTGGTTCCCACCTTCAAGGGTTCATAGCAATGCAGGGGAACATTTAAATACATTTAAAAGCTCCATGGGCTAACTACTCCTATCATTTATGCTAATGCAACCCCATGGAGAATTTGGGACACTATTTTCATTCAAATTGAAAAAAATCATGAAAACATCCAGAGCTCCTTCGAAAATCTGTCCATAAAAATGTCTAATGGGGCTAAATGCTGAGCATATGAACTTCCCCCCATTCAGGGTGCTCAGCACCACACAGGATAAGGCCCTGGCTTAGATCAGTGGAATATAGGGTTCCATAGATGAGACCAAATAGTGAAGAGACATGAAGAGGAGATGATTGCCAGAAGTCTTTGAGAAAGAAGTGGATCTGAAGGCGGCGTATGAAAGAGGAAAGGGAAGGGAGTTTATGTGCGTGTGCAGTGCAGGGGAAACAGGAAGCGGATGTAAACTTTGGGGAATAAGCACTAGCAAAGATTCTGGAGAAGTGCATTCGGATCTGATTTTTTTAAATGAGTCTGATAAATGTTGTTGTTGTGCTCTGGCTCCTGCAAAGGGCCAGTGTGGCCTTAGCTGTCGCAAGGTATGGTTCCCTTTGCTTTCCAAGGGCAGGGTATCATAGGACTCAGGATGTTATTAGCATGCCCTTTGATAGAAGAGGGACTGTTGACACTTTGACCATTACAACATGCACAGTCTAAAACTCCAGAACAAGGGACTTTTTGCATCAGGCTTCATTATGATTTCTGTTATTGTCTCTTAACCTCACAGCCTCAACTTCCATGTCTAAAAAATGGGCTAATATGAGTTGCAATTAATTGTTCTGTGCTTTGCTTTCAGGCTTACAGTGTGTATGTGTTATGTGTAATGAATGTTTGGCATAGCGAGAAGTTTTTTGGTTTTGCTTGGAAGAATGTTTTAGACATTAAAGGTCAAGTTGTGTCAATTAGCCCCTGGGCCAAGCAGGGGTGGTGTGGAGCTGCATTACCCCAAGGGGAGCTTGGGAAGGAATTGTTTTACCAAGTTCTGGTATGTAGGGGGGGCTGTATAGGCTACAGTGTCTCCCCCTGCCTGCATGTGCACCCTCATAAAGGTCTGCCACACTCTGAGGACTAAACTTCATAGGCCGGCATATTGTGCTGGGGTAAAGATCTCCTGCTGCAGTGGAAATGCCAAGGTGAAGGCATGAACAGAAAAGAAATGTCAGGGCCAAACAAGAATGTTCTTTAAAATGCAAGACTTCTCCTTTATCAACAATTCTGCAAATGGTTAAAGTACAGCGAAGTCATAAGCAACTGGAAACAGGGTTTTGTAATGGGAATGGCAACCTTAATAATAGCAGTGCTGCCAGTCCTGTCTATAATATGCCACCTGGTGTCTCTGTCTTTTCTCTGTTTACTCTTTTTGCTTAATTAATAATCAAATATTATATCTATATGTCATACAAAAAATAGTTTAGGTCCTCATCTTGTTCTCATAGAAGTCAATAGCAAAAGTCCCATTGACTTCAGTGGGAGCAGAATTGGTCCCTTAATTAGTGCTCTAAGTTACAGGGGCCACAGTAAATCACTTTGATTACTCATTATGTAATGCATTTTCTTTACCTTTCAAACAGGTTGAATGTAATTTTTACAAAATTTGATGAGGTCCAAAAATCTGGAAACATGATCCAGGGTGCAGGTGGTAAGTAGAATCCTGTGATGGTTTCCATTTTTTTTTGTGAATTATCAGTGTTGTGGAAATTCATAAAATAAGTTGTGTGCCTCATTCCAAAATGTTATATTTTTTCCTGTACATCTGGGAATAGTGAAGGCTAGTTCATGCACTTCATTGTGTGATGGAGTGGGATAAAACACTCAGCTGAATATGGGGGAAATTGTGTTTGTTTACAATGGAGGAAAATCTGAAGTTTCTTCACCATAAAGGATGTTTTTTGTTGTTCAGAAGAATGTAACTGAGAACCAATGTTCTTGTCTATATCTAGAAGTGGGAAGGAAAAATTTACACCTTTATCAAATATTGCAGTGTTCTCCAAGTTACTGTACATTTAGTTCAATCTATTGAATGACCAGGACAAGTTGGGCTGAATTCACCCCGATCTAACTTAATTGATGTCAGTGAAGTTAGACAAAGAACATAATAACGGCCATACTGGGTCAGACCAAAGGTCCATCTAGCCCCGTATCCTGTCTCCCAACAGTGGCCAATACCAGGTGCCCCAGAGGGAATGAACAGAACAGGTAATCATCAAGTGATCCATTCTCTGTCACCCACTCCCAGCTTCTGGCAAACAGAGGCTAGAGACACCATCCCTGCCCATCCTGACTAATAGCCATTGATGGACCTATCCTCCATGAATTTATCTAGTTCTTTTGAACCCTGTTATATTCTTGGCCTTCGAAACATCCTCTAGCAAGGAGTTCCACAGACTCACTGTGCATTTTGTGAAAAAATACTTCCTTTTTATTGTTTTAAACCTGCTGCCTATTAATTTCATTTGGTGATCCCTGGTTCTCATGTTATGAGAATGTGTAAATAACACTTTCTTATTTACTTTCTCCACACCAGTCATGATTTTATAGACCTCTATCATATCCCTCCTTAGTTGTCTCTTTTCCAAGCTGAAAAGTCCCAGTCTTATTAATGTCTCCTCATACGGAAGCCATTTCATACTCCTAATAATTTTTGTTGCCCTTTTCTGTACCTTTTCCAAGTCCAATATATATTTTTTGAGATGCGGCGACCACATCTGCATGCAGTATTCAAGATGTGGGCGTACCATGGATTTATATGGAGGCAGTATGATATTTTCTGTCTTATTATCTATCCCTTTCTTAATGATTCCCAACATTCTGTTCGCTTTTTTGACTGCCGCTGCACACTGAGTGGATGTTTTCAGAGAATTATCCACAATGACTCCAAGATCTCTTTCTTGAGTGGTAACAGCTAATTTAGACCCCATCATTCTATATGTATAGTTGGGGTTATGTTTTCCAATGTGCGTTACTTTGCATTTATTAACGCTGAATTTCATCTGCCATTTTGTTGCCAGTCACCCAATTTTGAGAGATCCCTTTGAAGTTCTTCGTAGTCTGCTTGGGACTTAATTATCTTGTGTAGTTTTGTATCATCTGCAGATTTTGCCACTGTTTACCCCTTTTCCTATGAATGTGGATGAATGTGGTCCATTATGTCTTAATGAGAGATGCTAATGTGGACTCTGGATGTATCTAAGGCAGGTTCTCCTTAAAAGGAGTTCATCTGGTTATGTCATATGTAGTGCTGGCGTTGTTGGAGTTTGATGGGACACACTTGTGTATCATGGTGTTGTGATGTCATGTTACCACATTGTGTCAATAGAGCCCCACTGCACTGAAATGATGTGAGTTGGTGATGATTCATTGTCATTGGAAGCTGCCTTGGAACCTATTAACACGCCACAAGCTCAACTTGCAAGTGGATTATCTGAATAATATGAGGGCAATTCTGGAGGAAAATCAGATGGATCACAACCCTATATGGCTAGGACAATAGTTTGTATCCAAAGAATGAGTCACAATTAAGAATAAGTTTTGTTGGAGAGTAGAAAAAGGGGAGTAATTTCATATTTCAAGAGCAAGATTTTAGCTGTATAATTATTATACCCTGATATAACTGAGAAGGGTATCAGCTCCTTAACCTGCCTAACCCTAGGCCCTTAGGAGATTTTGCTAGCCCCCAGGACAGTCTTTAACATCTCAGCACTTTGTATAGTCTCACAGGTGCCTTAGGTACCATGGTTACAAGCACCAAAACTGTGAAAGTATCATGAAGTAGAGAAATGGAGGAAGAGAAATGGGTCTTTTCTAAATAGCTGTTCTTGACTTATTGAAATTCACCTTGTCTTGATTCACTAAACATAGACAATATATTATTTTCTTGATTTTTTTTTTAAAACACCACTTTAAATATGTTTGCTGTTTTTAAATGGAAGCATAACTACTCACAGATATAAACAAAACACCTGTGTGAGAGTGTGGTAGGTTAACTGAGAAGAAAATTCTCAGGCTTTTCAGTTTCCCTTGGTGTTGTAGGCAGATTCATTCCCTCTGCCTAACTACCCCAACCCAGCCTCCTCCTTTCCTCTCTCTATCCAATGTATGAACAAACGTTGTGCAATAAATATTTATGTTCAGATGATGCCCTCTATCGATGATATTAGACAGTAAATGAGACTTGTGTCTTCAGCCTTGATCACGTGTTTCATTGTAGCCTAAAGACAAATTTGCTGTCCAGAGAGGTTCTGTTTTATCCCTGCTTTTAGAACAAAGGAGATACTATCAACATCCATCAGAGTTTATAGGAAAGGTAATAAATAAGATGCACCCCAAAGCTTAGCTTTTCACAGGAAACAGCCTCATGAATTTGCTGATCCCTTTCAGAGTTTGGCAGATGGCAGTGCTTATTGTCAGGTTCTCTACCTTATTATCATGAAGACTGCTCCTTTTAGGCTGTGTCTGCATTGTGCGTCTCATGTTACAGTGGAGGGAGTGTGTGAGTGTAGGTCAGCTGGCAGCAGTTTAAATGTGATATTATCTGAGCAGGATAATGGTGGGGCTGGTGCAGCTCCATCAGTACTAGAGGAAGCCCAGACCAGTGACTTGTCTGCACTAGTATTAGCCCCTAGGATGCTGCATCCGTGTCATGGGGAAAAAGCTCCATGTAGACAAAGCCTCAGACTTTCTCTACACTAGTAGTTTTCAACCTGTGCTCCGCAGACCCCTGGGAGTCTGCAAACGATGCCTAAGATTTCCAAAGGGTCCGCACCTCTATTCAAAATTTTTTATGGGCCTGCAAATAAAAAAAAGTGGTTGAAAACCATTGTTCTATACAGATTCCTGTAAATGGGATTAAATGCCATTTTGATGACAGTAAGTCCCTGTCTTCGCTACAGAAATCACCATGTTTAAACATCACTGTGCCCAAAGCATGTTATAAGATGGTTTATGTTGGTGTGTCTAGACAGAAAATTCCTGTGATGATCATGTTCGAAAACTATTGATGAAATGCTGGCAACACTACAGTCAGTGGCAGAATTCTTATTGATTTTAATGGGGCCAGGATTTCACCAGTTGTTTTAGCCTTGCTATTGTCCAGGGTTAGAGCATGGCTTTCTAGCATGGTTATAAGACAGGTGAGAACAAGTGAAGTTACCCCTATGTCCACACATGTTAGAACCATGTTTTAAAACCATGCCCGAGGCCTCCTTGTTGGGTAGCTGTCAGCATACTTTTGGCGAACGGGGCGGTTTGTAATGGAGTCCTGGCCACCCAGGAGCACTGACCTGTGCTAACTATGACAGTGTTCAGCAATGGTTGTCAAGCCTGCCTTATACTGGTGTGCAGGGAAATTAAGTAGGCAGAAAGGAAATTATTGTTTTCACTGAAAGTGGTATGTGCCAAGAGAATCAGACAATGGAAAACTATAATTGAAACTGATCTTTTAGCTCTCAAAGTATATTGACTTGGATATAGATGTATTTATCAGATCACCGATGTTTATGTAAAAGAAACCAGCAGCTAGAGTGAGAGTTTATGTATATTGAGAGTACTTTTTGGGAAGTGCGCTGTAAGTCATTTAGGACTATCTTGAACAAACAGCATTTCCTAGCAGACGATAAGCAAAATTTTTTGGTCTGAAGAGTGAGACATTCGGTTTACTAGTAACGCTGGTCAAAATGATGGGATATGTTCTGCTATCAGTAATGCTGATATAAATCTAGAGAAACACTATTGAAGCCAGTGGATTTACACCAGTGTAACTGTGATCAGAATTTGAGCCATTGTATATTTTTCCAAATAACTATTTCAGCATTTTTTTTTTTTATATTGTGGTTCGTCACAATTTCCTCAAACTGATGTTGAGAAACACTTCATGTTGTTCCTTGTGAATCTGGACTTTGATTTAAGACTTAATAGTATTATGAATAAAACAACAGGGGTGGGGGGCGAAGAGGGGAGAGGTCCGAATAGTAATTTGAAGTGGATTTCATTTATATAGCAGACAGAGGGGAGGATTTCATCTTTGTAAGTATGCTGCTTTGTAAGTATGTTGCTAGGTTACCAGAAAACCTTACAACCAGAAAATAGAGCTAAGGTGAATGTTGGATTTCTCCATGATTCTTTATATATCTGTTTTGTTTTTTACATATAATTAGTCAACCTCTTGAGGCAAAAATTACAGTTTTTTCATCTCTTTGGCTTTCAGCAAGCGAATTATTTTTTGTGTAACTGCCTTTGCTAATTATGCAGATCTACTTGTATCCCTGGGAGAAATAGATTTTCAGCATGAAAGAGCCAATAATTGCAGGCCTAGTCAGTTGCCATCTTCATATGGCGTCGCATGATGGTCTTTAATTGGATGTGGTATGGAGGGAGGCCCTTGGACATAAATGTAGATTTAATTTACTCTCATAAATCCCCCACTGTTCTGCTTTTCCTGGATTTAGGCCTAGAAGGGCTTGAACCAAAGCTTGTTGAAATCAGTGTTTTTCCATTGACTGCAATGGGCTTTGGATCATGCTCTAATTACACAGACTTCTAAATTCAAGTTTCAGAAAGGATCAGGTTAAGCACACGATCAAGCAGTTACTAAAGGTAAATGATCAATATTACAATGTAGTCATTTTCTCCTATTCAATTTGG